CTTTTTTATAAGTTTTTTCAATTTGTTTATCATCATAAAATATTGTTGCTGATGATGTATTAGGAGTTAATGATGATGTAGTTGATATTGATAATGATGGTGGTGGTAGTGATTTTATAGCTTGTGGTGAAACCGAAATAGATACAATCGGTTGATTCTTAAGATTTGTTTCAATAGTCGACATTACATCTACAAAAAACAAAAAGAAAAAGAAAAAAACGAACAACTAATAAAAATCATTATGTCGCTCAATCTTTTCTTTTTTTTTCTCATTATGTCGTTTGATTATCAAGGCAAAGAAAAATAGATACGACGATAGTACTGTCAGATAAATACAAGGCAGACAAGAATAGAAGATGATACCCAATGGAGATCTTCTATAGAGAAGAAAAAAAAAAAAGCAAAAAAGAAAGAAAGGTGGTAATGAGTTCTCGTTTTCTTGTTTTCTGAATCGACTAATAAATAATAACAAAGAAAAAGCAAAGAAAATCTCGATACAAGGCATAACAAGAAAAAGAAAATTTTCTCTAATATCTTCATTATGTAAAACATTGCCTTTCGACGACATTCTTGATAAGCAATCGATAGAAATCGAATAAACAACAACAAACAACTTAGTCGACGAAATACAACAGCATGAATAATAGCACACATCGTTTCTTCTTCTTTTTTTTTTTTTTTTTTTGTTTTTTTGTCTATGCTGTCGTTCTCATCTTTAATGTAATTGACATACGTTATTGGACCGTGCCTTGTCTATCTGCACCTACATATATGCCAATGACAAAGATCTAACATCAAGGACAAAATAGTTTTTGTGATGATGTCAATAACTAACATGCATAAAAGACATTTTTTTTAGTTTTGTCTGTCGTCATTTAATTAAGAGTAAATAATGTTAATCAAATATATTAAGATCGATATATATCATTATATATACAAAAACGAACGAAGAAATTCTTCTTACCATATGAGCAATTCGATATATATTGATAAGTACTCAATAAACAAAGAAAGAAAAATATTAATGAGATTTTTCTTTTTTTTTTTATTCATTCATTTCTTTTCATTCCATATATCAAACAATGGTGCTATATTGATTCGTCAGAAAAATAGCCATCATTATTTCATATCGTTTCCAAAACATATGTTTTTTTACTGCTGACATCTATCAAAAACTGGAAAAGCATTGTAATTTTGTTAGATAATCTAATTTCAATAATTTTATTAGGAAACAATATTATGTCGACATCATCATTCGAGAGGAAAATTTATAATGTTTTTTTGTTTGAATAGAATATTGTTAAATTAATCGTTCGGTAAATTCGAAAATATATTTTTTCATTTAAAATGATCTCAAAATATTCTTTTTATTTATTATAGGGAAATGATACAATTTTTCTAATAAATATATATTCATTCAACAAATACGATATTCTAACAAGAATATTCAAAATGACTCATGCAAATACTTTTATGAATTGTTTTGTTTTTTTAACAGATTTACTCTTTAATATGTACAAAACTATATTGAAGTGCTGTAAGAAAGAATAAAGTAAATCATACATAACTGTACGATAGAAATTCGAAAATTTTCAGTTCAATTTAATTAAATCTGATACAGATCTGTTTAAAATATTAATATACGAATAATATAAGTAAATACTATTTTGAAATATCATCATTGAATCTACAAAAAAGTAAATGTTATCAATTATCAATTAAGAAAATATATGTGAAACGATTGTTTGTTTTGGTTTTCTCTTGTCCTTATCGAAAGAAATAATTAAAAATTATCTATGAATCATTCAGACACATGTATTTTCTTACTTGACAAGTACTGATATTTCTTTAATGAAATCAATAATGATACTTCAAAACAGTATTTACTTATATTATTCATTTAAAAATAATTTGTACAAAGGTCACATGAGAGTTCTCAAGTTGGCAAATGTATAAGAAAATGTCTCATAGGAGTAATAAAAATTTAAAAACTCTTAATAGTTCTATTGGGCAATAAAAAATAATTTTCCATTATTCGGAAGCGTACATGCTCCTCCCCCACTTTCTAATTCCTGCATCCGTATTATCAATAACACAAAAATAAACTCGCTTGATTAAACCGAATTGAAGATAACCCATTATGTTACCGTATACTTATGGTCTGCTGCGTAATTTTAATGAAAAATAGAAAAAAATCGTTTTAATCAATTATCTATTTAATTCTCTATTCTTTTTTAATAAGCCATTTATACAACTCTAATGAAGGATAATTTACAATGAAAAAAACAAACGATTTTTGTATTGTCGACTGTTGACTTCTTAAATGTAGTTGAATATTAATTTACACATATAGAAATGATTGATCGTTCAATTTTATTTTCTAAATTTTAATACCATATATATACAATTTTCTTTTAGATTGATTGTATATAAGTCATTGAAAACAGAAACGATTAATAATTTCTTTTTTTTTTATATTTAGTTTTTCATTTTTACAAGAACAAAAAAAAATCTACTTTTGAGAAAATACATAATAGCTAAAGAATCACCAGATAAATAAATAACACTTATTCATTATATTTAATTAATAATCATATTGTTATAGAATTTCTTATCCATTGTATATTTTATGAAGATAAATTAAAACTTTTTAATTGTTGTATTCAAATTTTTATTATATAGATCTATGGTTTTTTTGTTATTAATTTTATATTAAAATAAAACAGAGAGTGAAATACAACAATACTGAATAGAATGTACACTTCGAAGAATTTTACATCAACAATCAGACAACAAAAAAAAAAAGAAGCTACTTACGAATATTTATAAAATATTCAACTATCGTAGATACTGCATTGTGTTCTAATAAAAATCCTTAGAGATATTGAGATTTAACTAAGCTATTGAGATTTTTTTTTTGCTAGAGATCTCAGGTTTTCAGAAAACTCGTATTTTCGAATTTTGATCGGAAACTTTGTGAATATAGAAAAAAGAAATTCAATAGCTTAGTCAAATCTGAATGTTTCTGAGGATTTTCTTTTAGAATACAATATCGTATCTATTGATAACAAAAAAAAAAATCATTAAAATCGGAATGGAGTATCGTTAAGTAATGAATTAACATAAAATTTTTTAGTATGAGTACATATCTATGAATTCATTAACCGAGAATTGTTACTATTTGATTATATGACTTTTGTCTTTCGGATAAATACGATCTCAATTAAATTGATTGAAAGACACATATGACCTTTTCAATCTATCAAATGTAAACAATATAGTAATAGAAATAAGTATGCGTAAATGTATTATGTCACTTAGAATTTGATGTATTTTTCTTAGAAATGTAAAGGTCGAGAAATGCAATTGATCAAAAAGTTGTATGAATTTTGTTAATGGTAGTTATCCGAGAAAGTATATAGATTATTTTAGATTTATATCTATACCTATTTTTGAAATTTGACAATAAATAAAATAATATCAAGTTAAAATTTTAAACAATGTAAATACAATTTAATTATAAGTCTTAGTATATTCTTCAACTTTTGCTATATTTATTAGAATTTACTGAATTATCTCAAACGAGAAGAGATTATTGTTCGTCAACAAATGCCCGAAGATGATGATGACGGATGAAAACAAAAACTGTTGAGTTTCAATAACGGATTCGTTCTCTATGGATTCAGGTGCTGGGATCATTGCCCTGGACAATCTTGTTTTTTCGAGCTTTTCACATAAAACTAGATTACTTAGTTACATTTATTGATATGGCTATCATTACGAGTTAAATTCAAAAGTATGATGAAGCACGAAATTGTTGTTTGTCCAGATAATGAAAACCTTAGATGAACTCTTTTGGTCCCGAAGATTTTTCAAATTTCAGTTAGGACTACCGTAATGAAAATCCTAATTTTGTTAAAATGTGAACTTAATATGATCTATCTCTCATAGCGTCATGCTATGTAATGTTTATATGGAAACTTTTTCATTGTTTTTAGCTCTTTGACTTTGAATTATATGAACGAATTGCAAGTTTTTTTGTACAATTGGTGAAAACAAAAAAAGTGAAAATTGATTTAGAGAAATTTTGATTCATGCATTTTGTTTTCTATCATTGTTACGTTCTTATTTTACGTTAATGTGTATATAGTTATTTTTAAGATGTTATTTATATTTTTCTTATCAGTTATATTTTTGTTGAATCAAAAAACAACAGTCTCCTCTTTCTCTCTCTACTCGAATTACTCCAACCTATATACATATATCTATAGTCACGCATTTCTAACTGCGCAATAAATTTCAATTCAAGGTCAAGAAAACTGTTTTCTTGACTTTTACGAGAAAAGCAAAAAAAGAATAACAACAGATTGAAAAAAAAACGAACAAGAGTTGTTAGATCAAAGAAATAAACGAACATACTAAGTGAAATATTTAACAGAACGAAAGAAAAAACAAATACTATAAATCATATATGTATGAAACAAAAGAAAGAAAACGAACAGATATGGATAATACATATAACATTTTTTTCTTATGGCACATCTAACATAAGTACCATAACAATCACTTTCTGAGTATTCAATAAAAATTTTCCAACAAATAGCCACTTAATGATGAAGATATTCAAATGTAGACTTTGGTTTTAATTTTTGTACGATAAGTTTCATTGTGTTGAACATAAGAAGTTTTCGTAAGTGTCATTTTATTATCTAGAAAGAAATGAAACAAACATTACATTCGCATTATTACACACGAGAAATCACCTAAAAGTGCCATTAGAGATCTCTCA